TTGAAGGCAATTTAGAAGGAGCAGATGCAGGGAAAACTCTCTGTACTCCCTCTATCTGCCTGAAAGCAGGACACAGATTTATAAAAACAAAAGGTATCCTGCACCTCTTACCTCAGGGGAGCAAATGTTAACCACTGAAGACAACTATCACCCTTATGGGCCTGGAGATGCACCAAAGGAATCTACATGACAGGCTTTACAAACTAGCTTTCATCTGCCATTTGCTTTCCCCCATATTGCCACCCCTAAAGACTTAGTCCCTTTTCCTTTGTCTTGTGTCTTTTCTAAAAAGTTACTTTTTCTTTTCAAAGATGCTACATAAGCTGGAGTTCAAAGCCACCTCTTTGAGGGCTGGCCTGTGGCTCACTCGGGAGAGTGTGGTGTTGATAACACCAAGGCCACAGGTTCAGATCCCATATAGGGATGGCCGGTTTGCTCACTGGGTGAGCGTGGTGCTGACAACACCAAGCCAAGGGTTAAGATCCCCTTACTGGTCATCTTTTAAAAACAAAACAAAACAAAACAAAAACAAACAAACAAAAAAACAAAGCCACCTCTTTGAGAATTACTCATTCCTTGGGTGTTTCCCATGTATATATGCCATATACATGTTAATAAAGTAATGTTTGTGCTGGGCAGCCATATAAAAGATAAATTAATAAATAATGTTTGTCTTTCTCTTGTTAATCTGTCTTGTCTTGCAGGAGTCTGTTCCAACTAAGAATTTATGAGGGTTGAGGAAAAAATTCTTTTTTCTTCCCTAAAATAGGGAGAAAAGGGAAAGCCTTTAAAAGTTTTTAGTTGAACTTGGATTCAAATTATGGTACCTCTAATAGTTTTATGGCCACAGATAAAAAAGTGTTTGCCCTCAGGTAACTAACTAGATTTGTTTGGATTGCAAATTTGAATGGCTTCAGGGACAGTCAAGAGATCTTTGTATCAGGATAGCGGTGAACTATCCAGCTTTATTTCGCTGGGTCATTCAGGCAGTCACAGATCTGGCTTAATCCAAGGTCCCTGACTGTAAGGTGCAAGCTCTGTATAGTCCTCAGTCTTTATTATGTCATTTGCCAAATGGGAATGTTAACAATGCCTTCATTGGGAGCTGTCCAGGTAGTCAAAAATTTGATTTCTTTAGTTCAAAAGTCTATAATTTAATGCCTACAAGAGGGCTTTCTATGGATTATTTTATTTAATCTGCATAGTATCTGTATGGGTTGGAGGCCATCACTGGCCACACTATAACAATGAAGAAACTGAAGCATAGTGAGGTGAACTGCCTCACATAGGGGCTCATTTGGAAAACTAAGTCACAGTTGTTATTTCTGGGGCTAGAGAATGGACAGACAATTGTGTACTGCATGCATGTTTAAATTTTACTTCGTTAATTTATTCATCCATTCATTCAACAGATTATTTTTTAAGTTTTTTTCTCCATTTTAATTTTTATTATCTTTTCTCTTGTTTTTAATTTTTTAAAAAATTTTTTTCAACAAGGACTTTTTGAGTACTTACTATGTGCCAAGCATTGTTCTAGGTGCTGGAAACCAGGCCGAGAATAACATAGGCAGTCCCCCTCTGCATGAAGCTTACTTACATTCTTGTTATGGGAAACAGAAAATAAACAAAAAATTTTTAAAAATATATATATATATATATAATGTCAGTAGGTAAAGAAGTAAAGAAGAAGAAAACAAACAGATAAGGTAAATAAGGGACTTCCAGGAGGTAGGAGAGATGTGTGGTAGATAGTTGTAATTTTAAATAAGATGGGTGGGAAGACCTCACAACTGAGATGAGATTGAGCAGAAGGAGAGAAGTCTTCATACATCTGTAGGAAGATTATTCCATAGAGAAGAAATCACAGATCCCAAGTTGGGAGCATACTTGGGTCATGACCACAGTTCTGACAACCGGCTATACAAAATCAGTATCCTCTTCTGTTCTTTTTTCTTAAGCTGGAGTTTCCAGGTAACTCAGCACTGATTCACATTTTAGTACTTTTCAAGAATATGGCTCCAGGTCCCTGAGGAGTCTGTTAAGATGGTGAATCAAAAGGCAGGGATGGGAACAGATGAGTGCTAACCCCACAGAGGACTGCCAGCTTGATTCAAAGATACCGGTAGTTAAGAAAAGAGTATTACTTATGTGATAATTTACTTAAAATAAAAAGAGATTTCAGACTTCTGCAAAATCACCACCATTTTACTTTTCAGAAGAGAATCCAAATGTAATATTTGTGAAAAGGCTTTACATAATATAACAAGTATATTTTGTGGGATTTCATTACACTGGATATCTATGGAAGAGTTCCCAAGTACAAATAAAAAGTACTGCTCATCCTATTGCCAACCAAACTCTACATTAAAATCTCCATAATGGGGATGATACAATGGCCAAATTCATAATTGTTAAAACCAAATAAAATAAAATTATTTATGATGAAGGTGAGAGGGTGGTTGTGAGAACCAGAGTTGACGATGAACAAAAGGACTCAGCATATGGAAGTTATCTGGAGCCAACATGAACAGCAAGTTTTGAAGAGTTTTGAGAACAGCAAGTTTTGAAGAGTTTTGAGAACGGCAAGTTTTGAAGATGTCACCAGGACATCAGCAGCAATGGCTTTTATATACCTGTTGTCTGAAGAGGGCAAATGAGGACAAAATGAATATCAACAATGGGTGGTCAATTTAAGATTTCATAAATATTGAGTGCTTCATAAATATTTGGTGTCTCCCAAATACTTGATGTTTGTTTTTTCATCTCTTCCTATCTCTGTGTAGCACACATAAGCACTACTGACTTTCTCTATGTTATGACTCATACTGAATATAGCTTTTGAATTTTGTCTACACTTCACAGACTCCTTACTTACCTACTTAATACTTACTGAATTTCATCCATCCCATTTGTTGTGTCAGTCCTCCATAGTAGAATTCAATAGCAGAATGTGTTTGAGAATATCTATAATAATAGAACACACATTGCACATAGAAGGAGATGAATCCTTGAAGGATATTGGAGCTCCTATCCCAGACCTGAGCTATATAGCTTTGTATGACAGAGAAATAGACTGTCGTTTTTATTGACTAAGTATTTTAGGTTGTCAGTCACTTCCTGGGGTATCTAATACTAACTCATACAGATTAATATTAAAAATACTTCATCTCACTAAAGAAAATTCTGCAGATTAACAATGGACAAGATTTCCTATCATAATATTACTTTCTACATTTCAGGAAGGTCATACATTTTAAGGCACTGAACTAGGCCTTCTAGGAAAGTGTATGAACTAATGACAAGACATGGCCAGATGAAAGTATAAATGTGTGGCCCCTGGTCTTGACTGTAGTCCATCAATACAGATTGGAACTCTGCTCACTCTTTCTCTTGGTCTCTGTCTGCCTCTCTCTGTGGCTGCCCTAAAAAGGTGAGAGAAGCATGTGGTATAAGAAAAATTAAAAATAGAAAAGGCAAGTAAATCAGTCTGGTCTTAAAATCCATCTCCTTGGTTCCTGTCCCCTTGCCATCTCCCTTGCTTCACCCTCCTTCCAGAATTGTGTCCAGGAAAAACTTGACTTTTTTGAGATTAAGTCAATTATCAGCTTTTGGTAATTTACTTAATTGTTTTCCAATTTTTATTTTCATTTGATTTTTAATTTGACAGATATTGTATGTGTTTATTATGTCATGACACTTTGAATATATATACACTGTAGAATGGTTAAATCTAGTTAATTAACAAATACAGTACACCTTATAGTTATTCTGTGATGATAGCCAATAACATCCATTCTCTACATTTTTCAAGAATACAATCTATTGTCATTATAGTCACCTTGCTTTACAATAGATCGCTTGAAATTTATTTCTATCTAGCTAATTATGTATCCTCTGAGCAAGATCTCCCCGTCTCCCCTCCACCAGCTTTTGGCAGTGTAAATTCAGCCCCATCAAAGAGCAATTTAAAAAAAAGTGACCTTCAGACTGACGCTTCCCCCTCTATTTGGTTTGGGGGGAGGTAGGGAGAGGTGTGCGGAGGGGATACGGGGATCCGAACCCTTGACCACGTCCTAACCGAGTTACCAGCGAGCCCCCTGGTTAGTTTTGAGACTATTGTTTAAATACTCATTTTAGACTGCGACTCGGGTAAAAACAGGGATGGTTCCTATCCTCACTGCTTTATAAAACTCAATAGTCTCAGTCCTTTATAAAACTCAATAGTCTCTCAATAAGCAAACGAATAGAGTCCTAGTCCATCTACCCAACACAATTTAGGAAGGAATCTTAGGGACATCTCAGACCTGAAAATTCAGGATACTCTTCCTTCGCCTCTCCTACTACCCTGCCAACTCCATGATCCAACAGAGAATGGCCATGAGGATGGAGACCGAAATTGAAGTTTAGGGTTTTCTGGCTTTTATTAGAGTTTGCCATTATGCTCATTAATCTTGGTATTTTTAAAATCCACACCATAAGCGCTTTTTTTTTTTTTTTTTCCCGTTAGCCTTTTCAAAATAGGACTGCCCGACCTTAAGTCTTTTGGCTGCCAGACAGTACCCAAGAATAAAAAGACACAGCACAGCGTTCCTAACCTTGAGACTTACTCTCTCCTACAAACACTATTTAATTAACCTTTTCCAGAGGCGCCGATGCTGCTTGCAAGGTAAGAGAATAAGTTCTCTTCGATAGACCTATTTTCCTTCCCAAGCCCACGTACCAAAGGAAAAAAAAAGCCAAAGTTCTCAGGTGCAACCCAGTAGACTAACTTCGATGAAAGATTCGCATATAGCCCACAATTATACTTTCTGTAATGGCTTTTCTATTAAAGATATTCAACGTACTTCTAACTCACCCTGCCAACTATGGTTTACTCGTCCCACACTGCGTTATAGTTACTACCAATAAGACAGGCAACATTATTTCTGCACCACGCAGACACAAAAGCAGCATTCAGCATTAGAGCTCTCATTTGTGACTGTGAGCGGCTCTGAAAAGAGCCTTTGGGTTTAGCACTACCTCCCGATCCATTTACTTGGAGCTGGTGTACTTGGTGACGGCCTTGGTGCCCTCGGACACGGCGTGCTTGGCCAGCTCCCCGGGCAGCAGCAGGCGCACGGCCGTCTGGATCTCCCTGGACGTGATGGTCGAGCGCTTGTTGTAATGCGCCAGCCGCGACGCCTCCCCCGCGATGCGCTCGAAGATGTCGTTCACGAAGGAGTTCATGATGCCCATGGCCTTGGACGAGATGCCGGTGTCGGGGTGGACCTGCTTCAGCACCTTGTACACGTACACGGAGTAGCTCTCCTTGCGGCTGCGCTTGCGCTTCTTGCCGTCCTTCTTCTGCGCCTTGGTCACCGCCTTCTTGGAGCCCTTCTTCGGGGCAGGAGCGGACTTGGCAGGCTCAGGCATGGCAGTAAAGTTAAGCAAAACTAGTTACGCAAGAAGTGACTTCAACGGAGGGCTGGCCTGCTTTTGTAGCTCTTCTATGCAAATAGGTGCTTAATCTTTCTCAATTCCTGATTGGGCTATGTCAGCCAATAGAAAGTTTGTATACAAACAAGGTGAATTCAAAAGCCCTTTTTTATTGGGTACTTGTATGGAACCTCAATCATTTCCTACGCCATCAGAAAAAATAACCGGTAGCTTTCGTTTTAAAACAGTTAAAAGAATTTAATATTTTGCCAGCAGTATTAATTATGATCCCTGTCTAACTAGAATCAGATCTAAAGAGGAACGAAAGCCTGATATACGTTTATGTCTCTAATTTGGTGCAAAATTGAAGTCGCCGGTTTAAAAATAATCTATGAAGAACTAATTCTAGAAAAGGAGACATAAAAATTAGCGAAAGATTTAAACGTTTCCAAAATTGTGCCAGTGGCATTCTTGTATAATCTGAACAAAGTCGGCAGCATTCTTACGTAGACTTAAGCTTTTTCAAGCACGAAAGGATCGGTACGTTTCAACGGTGGTCCGATTTTGACGTTCCGTAGAAACGAAGTGTCTGGAAATGATGCCAGTGTTTGTTGGGAGGTTCAGAACCATGATGTAGGGTTGCTCGCACTGACAAAATAAAACATCTCTCCAAAGTCAGAAATTGTAATAGAAGCTAAAGGATGAAACTGAGCTGAACCAATCACGTTCAAACACGGACGTTTTTTTAACCGCTCAGGAGATTTGGTACCCAATCACAAGGCCTAGCCAGTGACTTAACTCATGGCGCGGAATTTGAAAATTTGGTCCAATCAGGAGGACTTTGCCTTTATAAATAGGGTCAAGAGTAGTTACTGACACAATTGGGAAGGTTTCTTGAGGTTTTCTATGGCCCGTACGAAGCAGACGGCTCGCAAGTCCACCGGCGGCAAGGCGCCCCGCAAGCAGCTCGCCACCAAGGCAGCCCGCAAGAGCGCGCCGGCCACCGGCGGCGTCAAGAAGCCCCACCGCTACCGGCCCGGCACCGTGGCCCTGCGCGAGATCCGCCGCTACCAGAAGTCCACCGAGCTGCTGATCCGCAAGCTGCCGTTCCAGCGCCTGGTGCGCGAGATCGCGCAGGACTTCAAGACCGACCTGCGCTTCCAGAGCTCGGCGGTGATGGCGCTGCAGGAGGCCTGCGAGGCCTACCTGGTGGGGCTGTTTGAGGACACCAACCTGTGTGCCATCCACGCCAAGCGCGTCACCATCATGCCCAAGGACATCCAACTAGCCCGCCGCATCCGTGGGGAGAGGGCGTAAGTTGTGCTGTAGGTCAACTGTCAACTTTAAATCAAAAGGCTCTTTTAAGAGCCACCTACGGTTTCAATTTAAAGCGCTGTACCGCAAGGGAAGCACTACTTAACCAAAGGCCGGTGGAAGGCCCGGAATGGGGCGGGGGCAGTACGCAGTGGCTGTCGAGCTCTCGAAATTGGCTTGTGGCCTTTCCCTCAGTATATTGGCGTGAATTCGCTTATTTCAGCATACGTCCATTCTGTAATTGAGTTGGTAAATATGCGTTTGCTCCTGCTTCCGCTTACTTCGCGCAACTCAGGCTCTTAACATTACTATGTTCAGTTGCGAAAGGCTCTAAACACATAAATGCAGAACTGAAAGGCTTGTAGCTGAACTTGACAGACACTGCCATGTTTGCCTGGTGTCGGGGAGGCAAAATGTCACCTTTTCCCTCTTGGATTACAACAGAATAGCAGTACACACATTTTATTTAGTACCAGTTTTATATGGCACTGCATCCTTCGTAAGGAAATGAAGATCCAAAGCCGAAATTTTAAGCTTGTGTGCTGATGGTGTGGTATCCCAACCATATTACACTGCCTGATAACCAACTATTAGCCATAGAACTAACAAATTAGCACAAGTCTTAGCATAAGATATACTGAACACATTTGTTGTATGTAATTTTGTCCTAAGCATATTTCACAGGAGGTCAAAACAAAATTTGGACCACTAAAGTTAAGTGCCTTCCTTTACTTTTGCATTTTAAATATAGAATATCCACAAAGGGGTGACTGCCATCTAATCGTGCCTTACTCTGCTGTTTACAGAGTACAGGGGATAAAGGAACCAATAAAACAAGGGAATAGAAAATCATCCAGAGTGTGGGACATTCTATAAGATAATTGCTTTGTTTCTTCAAAAAGTCATTGCCATTAAAAACCAAAAAGTAATTGGTGAACTGTTCAAGATTAAGAGAGACTAAACCAATATAGGAACGAAACACAATGTGTTGACTAGATTCTGGCTCTAAACAAAATATTAAGGGCATTTTGAAGACAACTGAGGAAACTTGAATGTAAATTGGATATTAGATCATTTTATGAACTTTTTTTTAAAGGTTTTTGTATATATTTTATTTTAAAGATGACCGGTAAGGTGATTTTAACCCTTGACTTGGTGTTTTCAGCACCACACTTGCCCAAGTGAGCTAACCGGTCATCCCTATATAGGTATCTGACCCCGTGGCCTTGGTGTTATCAGCACCACACTCTCCCAAGTGAGCCATGGGCCAGCCCAAAAAAGTAGATTTTAAAGCATTGGTCCATTTAGCATTTTCAAAAGAGTTTTTTAAAGTGAGTATGTATCTCTTACCACACAAATTGTTTTTGCAGTGCTCTCTCTGTGTGAGTTATAGAACTTGCTTTTCTATTTCTGCCTTCATGGTTCTATTGAACACGATATTTTTCATGACTAATCCCAGCACGTATGTGTGTTCTAAAGATAAACAGTATGGGTTTTGGACAAACACTTGCTCTCTTCACATGACCAACATATTGGTAAGGTTTCAGCAGAGCTACTCAACTACTACCAAGGTTAATCATATAATTTTGGAGCTTTGCTCTACTTAGGAATAAGATCTCTTCTAGGTCATATATTTTCTCATTGTAATTTATTTTTTTACATCAAAGCCAAGCTTTTTATCTTCCAGGGTTACCCTACCCTATTCAGTCAGACAACTTTCCTACAGATGCTAGAATTTTTTGTGCACTTGTAGAATTTTTTGTGCAGTGGTGCACACTACATTTAGTGTCGCAACAGCAGAATGCAGCCAGACCGACTGGCTTAAAATCACATTGCTCTCACACTTGTTAGTTGTGTCATAAGTCATGTAAACTTACTGTGCCTCAGGGACCACATCCGTAAAATGGGAATAATGGTACTTCCCCCAAAGCATTATTGTGAGGGGCTTTGGAATCAAACAGACATAGCTGGAATCTCAGCACCTCTCTTATCTGGTCCGAAATCTTAAAAAGTGATTTGATCTTTTTCACCTTTAGAATCTTGATATGTAAAACTAATGAATCCCTAAAGTAGTGGTTTGAAGTATTAAACAGTATTTGAGAGTTCTACTTCTAAACCATAGTCTAAACCCAGTGAGGGTTAGATGGTAAGCAACAATTATTTCAACTTGCTTTTCCTCTTACGTTTTACTGCTAGAAGCCCAAAGCATCCACAAGTTTCCACGAGAAGAAAGAGAAGGAAGGTTTTAGGTCAAGCGATTAGTGATGATAGGGTTCCCTTGGTCACCTGGCGTTTCCATTCCCCTGAAGGCTTAATCCTCCCCTCCATGATATCTGCAGGTCCCAGATATAGGCAGAGTTGGTGACTGGACCCTTGTGCTATGTACTCCACAGAGCAGCCAATGGAAAAAGTGGCTGTTTGAGAATCTCAATACAGTCACACAGAAGACAGTTAGCCTCTGGGTTGAAACAAGCTCATCATAAAAGTCATCACTATGCTGAAAGTGGTTTCCAAACAAAATTTTTTTAAAAATTTATTTTAGGTGTCAAAGGCTAGAAACAGGTAACACAAGTTACTGCATGATATTCAGCCCTTGGGGAAAATAGTCTAATGCATAGGTTTTCTGTTTTGTACCATTTTGATAAAAATAAGGAGAGCAGACACTTCTAAGTGACAATTGTCACAAATATTAAACTCAATCCTTGAAGCACTCCGAAGAGGAAGACATTATCCTCACCCTAACTTTAGAATGAGGAAACTGAGGTTCAGAATGTGGAGCCGAGATTTTGAAGACGGGAAGTCCAGTCCCAGAGGTGATGCAATGCTTCCCGTCTGCAAAGTGCCTGGGTGACAGTAAACCTCAATCCTTTCTGTGCTATATACTTCTGCGGTTGAGGTGGTGATTTACCTCGATACCCTTGTAGCCTCCAACCGCACTACCAGGAAAGCTCTCTCAGAGGCACAGAACAAAAGGGCTCACAGACCAAATTAAAATGCTTGAACATTTTTAATCAATTCATACCATATAGCAAACAGCAAAGAAAAATAAATACGGTACCATAGCATACTTCTTTTCTTTTTTTAGTTTCTTTTCTTGTTTGTTTGTTTTTGTTTTTGACAGCAGGCTGGTATGGGTGTCCAAACTCATGACCTTGGAGTCAAAGGCTGCTTTCTAACCGAAGTAGCTAACCAGCCGGCACCCAGTACAGTGTACTTAGGATAAGATACAAGCAGATGAAAGGAACACAGTAGATGAATCCTGTTACTAGGTAATGTTCATATACCAGGGTCATCTTTTCTTTAAAAAAAAAAAAAAAAAGAGCAAGGGAATCCAATGCACACATGCTGCCTGCTGTGCTGTGAGTAATAAAGGCTTTCGTTGTCTGAGTGTCCTGTCTACTACTAGCAGTCATGAAAGACTTATAGGTTAACTTACTATCTTGTAAGTAGAGAAAGATTCCAGGCTCCTCACTAACCCTGACACATGAGAAGATATCACAGAGAGAGAGAGCATGCAGCATTTTATTCCAAGCAGACACTCGCTAGCTGTCTGCCGGAACTCTCAGGCCAAGAATAAATATTAGGCTTTTCAGCCTCAGAATCTCCTTTGTTTTAGTTCCTCTACAGCTGTTCAGGTTCTTGGGCCTACTCACAGGAAGTTTATGTTCTTATGAAAGAAAACAGATAATAGCTGTATAGAGAGAGCGATTTCAGTTGGCAAACTGTGCTGAGGAAGAAATGAACAGGGCGATGTCATGGTAAGTAAGTGGGGACTGGGTTGTCATTTTAGGCAGGACAGCCAGGAAGCCCTCTTGGAGGAGCTGAGATTGGACTCAAGATTTGAAGTTTGATAGGGAGCCAGGCCAGGGATGTCCTAGTCTAGAGGACCTGCAGGAGGAAAGCCTCAAGGTGAGAAAAGCTTTGTGTGCAACAGGAACGAAAGTGCAGCCAGTGTTGCTCCTTCTTCCATCTCTAAATTGCATTACAGTCTCTGCTTCCCTTGCCACATCTCTTCTCTCACTCTGACCCTCCTGACTTCCATGTATAAGGACCCACCCTTGTGATTACACTGAACTCGCTCGGGTACTCCAGGATCACCTCCTAATCTCCATAACCTTAATTTAATCACATTTGCAAAGTCTTTTTGTACCATGTAAGGAAACATATTGACAGGTCCTGTGGATTAGGACATGGGTATCTTTGGAGGGGGAATTATTCAGTTGACCACAACCATAAGAGGCATAAGGCCTTTGATTGGCACGGTTGTAAGACAACTTCAAATCCCTAAAATGCACAAAACTCTCTCAGAAATTAGTTATAACTTTTCATTTCTAAGTTGAAGTTCTTAGTTGCCAGCCACTTGGTCAATCACATATTAAAGGTGATGTTTTAGGGGATATTGAACAGATAGCAACATTCTTGGGAGGGCTATAAAACCATGCGAGAGGACACTTCTAGGAACAAAACCCAGAACTGTGCTGCAGAACGGCCTGGTGCTGATATCACAAGTGCAACTGCCAAACCAGAAGTTGACTCACTTGGAAGCCATGGCTGCTGCCACTACCAGAAGCTGGCCCTTCTGACATCTTCTATCCCAGCAGAAACAGAAGCTCCAAGCAGTCAGTGCTCTCCTGTCTTCCAATTCCAAAGAAAAGTCTTTTTTTTTTTTTTTTTTTTTTTAATTTATAAACAAGGAGGTCTACTTGGCTCATGACTCTGGGACAGCTGCATATGGCGCAGGCCTCAGGCTGCTTCTACTCATGGTGGAAGAAGGCTGGCAGGTAAGCAGATCACATGACAAGAGGAAGCAAAAGAGAGAGAGGGGGAAGAGAAGTCTTTTAAATGTGTGACTCAAATGGTGAAGCCTAAGCCTAGGCCACTTATGTGTATTCTTACAGTAAGGGAGGCTGAAATTAAATTTCTGAAGGCTAGGTAGGTGAGGCCAATCTCTAACCTGGGAATTTCACAAATTTATAAAAGAAATAAATGGATCAGTATTTTTAAACTTGTTGTCCCTCAAGTTCCACAGCCAAAACAAAACAAAAGCACATATATGCTTTAAGCTAAATTTTACGGCACAATATTTTCATTTTTTACATGACATGGTACTTTTGAAATTTCCATTGTATTTATTTTTTTATATGCTGACTGGAACCCATTAAATTGTTTTCCTTAGCAACGAATGGGTCATAGTCCGCATTTTAGAAAGTCTGCAGTAAGTAGCTGGCAGCCACAAATCTGACATTTATTTAAAGGAATGTGGTAAGAGAGAAGAAATTTCTTTTTTTTTTTTTTTTTTTTTTAAAAGATGACCGGTAAGGGGATCTTAACCCTTGACTTGGTGTTGTCAGCACCACGCTCAGCCAGTGAGCAAACCGGCCATCCCTATGTGGGATCCGAACCCGAGGCCTTGGTGTTATCAGCACCGCACTCTCCCGAGTGAGCCACAGGGCCGGCCCGAGAGAAGAAATTTCTGGGGGAAGCAGAGATACTGCTAAAGGACAATGATTTGTACAAGACTATATTATCAGTCCAGATAGTTTGTTAATTGCATTGATTTATTCAGTCATTGCACAAATAATTACAGAATGACCAATATGTGCCATGTAATTTTTGTAGGTTCTAACGATACTAAAATGAAGACATCGTCCAAGGCCTCAGAAATCTTGACAAGAAAGCAAGCATTTATCATCAACAAATGTTAAAGTGTGCAATAGCTTTAAAGCCACATGTGTGGAGGAGTGGAGAGTAAAGAATTCCTAAGTACTGATTTTGGAGGAGTGCACTTTGTGGAGAGCAAGGAAATCTTAGGTACTGATTTTGCCTGAGAGAATCAGGTAAAGGTCTACTGAAAACTCTTGAAGGAGGAAGCCGAAAGGAATCTAAGGTTATTAGTCGAAGAAGAAAACAGTGTATGTGAAAGAATTACCGTTGACAAAGGGTTCCAAGTGTGAAAAGTTGTTCAGTACCTTCGGCTATACAAGTACATATTTGGGGAGAGGGGTTTCGAGATGAGGTTGTGGAGGTGGCGGGTGTCAGATAAAGCACAGGAATTAGGTTTTTATTCTACAGATATTAGAAGAACTAATGAAGGCTTTTTATTTTACTTATTTTTGCATAGATGATAAAATGACAGGATGATAAAATTTGCAAATCACTCAGATCTCTGATTGCAGTGGGATGGACTGGTTGTAAGGTGAGAAGACAGGAAGTGACCTGTAAGCAATCTGTGGTTACTACAGAATATTAGGGTTGGAAGGCTGATACTCAGTTCTCTTCCAGGTACCTGGATGATATGTTATCATTTATGGCACATGCTGGAAGACATAGAGGATCTATTAAGTGATAAGTGTGCAAGGGATAATTCATTGGGAAGAATCAGAGAAATAGGACTCAGAAAGGCAAATTGAGAAGAATCAGGGAGAAGATAGGAACTGGGCCAGAAAGGAAGCTTGCCAGAGACCAGCTCCGCAGGATTCGTTGGACCTGAATAGGTGGTGTGGATTCGGTGAAAAGGAAGAGATGGACCATACATGTCTAGTGGAAGTGTGGACAACAACCACAAAAATCTTGCTTCATTTATATTTTTTAATTAATCTTTTATGTGATGGTTTATCTTTTAATCAGAACATTTATTATTTCATCTTTATAGAAAAAGAAAAATCAGAATGTTCCAAAGCATTCACGCTGTGATAAAAGCACCCACTCATGCATCAATAGTTCACCCCAAAGCCTGTGGCTTGTGGCCATGAACTTAAGGAGCGTCAGACTTTTAGTTTAAATTATAATTCTTAACCTTATTAACTTACAATTTAACCCTTTTTAAATCTTAGTTATACTTACTACACTTAATTTTAATGACATTGATTAATTATGGTTAACAATTTAATATTGCTTATACTTTATATTGATCATTTTAATTTATAATCAAAATCACAATGTTCATACCTTTTATTTCCCTGCCAATAGACTCCGGGAACAGCACAGGGGACAAAGTGAAAAGTTAAATGATCCTACTCAAACTAACAAAAACACCATATCATTCTTATTATTACTAAAGAAAGAACATGTTCTTGGTAAATCAAGTGAAACTGTGGGAGTGGGGAGAAACAAAGAAATCTGTAACTGGTTGATGATCAATTAGTTGTAAGCACCACTGCACTCGGACCCACCATCTCCCTGGGGGATGTGGATAGAAATCCAACACAATAACTTCATTCCACACGTACAAGAGCATGACCACAGCCACAATGGGCCCATGCACACATCACTAACAAGGAAGATTAATGACAAAATTAAATGGAGCCAACCCATACCAGGAACATGTCTCAGAAACACCTTTAGTACTGACAATGCCCTTTAAATAAACCAGTTAATTCTGATGTATTTTAACATGTCCCTTGAGAAACTCCAGGGAATTTCCCAAAGCCATAGTAAGCCAAAAGGTTAGGCTGTTTAATTCTGGGAAGCCTTGTCAAGCAACCAAAGGTGAACAAACAAAAAATCCCACAGAGCTGTGCCAGACACGGGACCCCCTGGTAGCCTGCAGAACAAGGGGTATCACTCAGGCTCCCATGCCGTTCCCTATAGCAGGACGGCTCACGGCAGAAGCTACCACGAAATCTCCCGAGGAAGACTGGCTTGTTAACTCACCTGGTAAGAACAGAGTTATATACACCTAGGTCAAGAGTTTGGATCCGTGTACCTGCCAACAGCCAAAAGAAAAAAGAAAACAAAAACAAAAACAAAAACCCACTCAAACAAACAAACAGTTAAAAACAAAATCCTGTGAGGAGACTGTGAAGGCAGGAGTCAGATGTAGCAGAGACTAAGTTCTTAACGTGTGTTCGTGGATTTTGCAATTAGGTCACTGGTAACTATGGCAAGGACATTTTTACTAAGGTGGTTGTTGAAGAAGGCATATATACATATGTATGTATATATATGATCATGAGAAGAGTGACTGAGACATACAAACAGAGACACCAAATGAATTTTATGTGGAGGGGAAGGAACCAGTAGAGAATACTAAAACTTTTAACCGAGGTATCACGACACTTAGGTTAGGATGAGCAAGTAATTCAGTGTCCAGTAAGTTTAACAGGGGAAGGAAGCTTCCTCAGTCATCCCGAAGGCACAGGCACAGACGACCTGGCTCCCTGCGGTGCTTTCTCTCCGTAAGTCGTCAGGGGAGGCAGGGGGAGGCAGGGGGAGCGAGACGTAGAACAATCACCCATTGAGCTTGGTGGGAAAGTGGAAAGGTGAGGATGCAGTCAGGGTCACAGGTGGGAAGACGACGGGTTGACAAAACCCATGAAGAAACTGTCACTAGGGTCACTGACGAAGCATGAGGAAATTGATCATCAAGGTATGAAACCGCAGTAGCCGGTAAGCCGTGCTAGTTACGAGCTCTCACAGGCCCGCATGGACGAGGAAAAGACCGAAAGTACCTTCCCCACGCTTGATGCGTTTGCTAGACTTGAACCCACCTATACACAGCCCTTCACACAGTACAAAGCAAAACACCAGGATAAAAGGCTTCTTTTCACGGCCGCGGCTTACGTAGAAGCCCCAGATGTGACTCGAGAACAATCTTAATGCTGTAGGAGTTAAACATTTTTGAAGCCTCTGGCGCAAGTCCGCTAACAAACCCAGCCGCTTCCGCCCGCACCAGGTCCCTCCGTCTGTCCTTTGTTCTAACACACTCGAGATCCGCCATCTTAAGGACAGTCCCCGGTTGAGGACAGTCGGCGCACGAGCACCTTTTACTCCGCGCAGAAGAGCGGAGCTTAGCTAGAACCGCAACGTCACTACTGCTAAACGTTACCTTCCCGTCTTCCCGCGTCAGTGTCAGCCCTTCGTGTGACAAAGGTGGGTGGCCCTGAAAAGGGCCTTTTACGAGCAAACTGTAAAATTGGCTTGAAACTCAGCCCCCGAAGCCGTAGAGGGTGCGTCCCTGGCGCTTGAGCGCGTAGACCACGTCCATGGCGGTGACAGTCTTGCGCTTGGCGTGCTCCGTGTAGGTGACGGCGTCGCGGATCACGTTCTCCAGGAACACCTTGAGGACCCCGCGGGTCTCCTCGTAGATGAGGCCGGAGATGCGCTTGACGCCGCCGCGGCGGGCCAGGCGCCGGATGGCGGGCTTGGTGATGCCCTGGATGTTGTCGCGCAGGACCTTGCGGTGGCGCTTGGCCCCGCCCTTCCCCAAGCCCTTCCCTCCTTTGCCTCTGCCAGACATGGCGCAGACAAGCTCTCGCTTTCCTGTAACCTTGGCGGTCCCTGCATTCTCCTTATATACTGACGATGCGGACCTTTTAGGAAACTGAACCGGGACACCTCTGTCCCCGCCTCTTCCCTACCTTGCTGGGCGACCCCTTGTGTTGCCTAAGGAAGGAAAGGGACGTTGAGGGGAGGAGAAATGCCACTCAGTGTCTGAGTCCTTCCTGTTTCCTTGTCTGGGTGCTGAGCCGCTGGTTTCTGTGTCTTCCAGTCCCGTGCCTGTGGGTTCCCTCAAAGGACTAATGTATAAGTCTCTTACAAAATTACGTATTATTCTTAATTCTTACAATCTACCGATGCTCGTTGAATTTGGCAAATCACGAAACAGAGGCACATATGCATCATTTTCAGCAGTCTCGATCGAGGGAGTTAATTATTAGTTTTCTCGTTTACTCTAGTCTTGTTTAATTGCTTAATAGGAAGTGGGGAGGGCAACGCTAATCGAATTTCAACTGTTTCCCCCTGGTTTTCTCTTTCGTTTTATTACTTTTTATTTCATTTAACTTTTTTTTGTTTTTGTTTCCCTTTTTATAAAGCTCCATCTGCGCTGTAAAGATGGGGAAACCCAGGCTTGGAGACCTAATCCGGGTCTGATTCTGCAGTCTCATGACCTTACATCGACCACTGCTTCTGAGGCGATAAATCATTAACAGGACATCATGGTGAATAAACGCTGCAAATTAACAGAATTAACAAAAATAACGCTAATGAATTTTGTGAGATATTGTACAAATAACGAGTAACTGAAGTAATGTTTTGCACACAGATCATGGACTGCTAGACAAATTCCAACATTTGCTTGCAATTTCCACACATTTGCATTCAGTGCCTTGCATGTACTACAGAGGTAATTTTTAAATATTCGTTCTCTGCTGGGGCTTACTTTATAGGCAGGCAGAAGATTTTACATTTCTTGGAGGCAGAGTCTTTTTGGGATTGAGTTTAGGGCCAGTCAACCTGCACGTATAGAGACACTGAGCCCCCATGCTCACCCTTTTGATAAAGGTACCAAACAAGCATAACTTAGGATCCACTACATGCCATGCAGTCACAGTCTGGTAAAAGGAAGAGAAACGTAAAATCAGGATGAGAGGCCAGACATCAGCCCAGTATCCTCCTAGTTGCTGCCAAGTATGGATGGGTGGAGCGGCCATAACCCAGCCGCACTGGCATCACCCAGAAGCTTGATAGAAGTACAGAGTTTCAGGCTAAACCAGAAATCTGCTGAAAATTGATGTTGCATTTTCAATAAGATCTCCAGGTGGGTAGTATGCTCATTCAAGTTGAAGAATGTACAGCTATGCTCTGTCCTATATTAGCCAGTAGCCACATACGTTCAGTAAAATTTAAATTAATTAAAATGGAAATCAATTTCTTCTGTCACTCTAGCCACATTTAATTGCCTAATAGCCTAATGTCGGTACCAGCTACCTAGTGGACAGTGGCGACACAGAAAATTTCCCTCATCGCAGAAAGTTCTACAGGGCTGTGTTGTTGAAGGGATTTCTCATGAGCTTTTAGTCCAGATAGGGGAAAGTGGTGTAGTGGATGCTTGAGAATGAGGCTGACTGCAAGACGTGAGGATTTAGAAGAGTGCTTTTCAAGTATAATAGAAATTACCCAGCTTCTGGGTGTACCAGATATTACAGATGGAGACATGGAAAGAGGAAGTCGGAAGTTTGAAAGCAGTAGTACCCTTTCAAGGAACAAAATTAATGTATCATAATTGTGCTTGGAGGGAAGCTTCAAGGGGCCAGTGTTTCCATGTAAGCCCATTTCATGGGAAGTTAAAATAGAAATGATTTCTCATGGACCTGCTGAACACACTCACTTCCAGTACAAAGCTCTGTCTTCTAAACAGTCCTTCGTCTTTCTTAGCCTATTTTGATGTTTATTTTACATAGTCATTTTTCTCCGGAAACCCTCGAACCTCACTGAATTTTGGAAAGTTTAAGCACAGTAGCTGTGGACTAATCTAGTGATCAACACCTGTATCTCTCACGGTCACTTACTATGGTGGTGGTGGTGGGAGAGGGTAGTTAACTCAAAATTGACAGAACATGAAGCCGGAAGTTACCCTGGGTGACTATCACTTACTTAACTAGTTCTTCTAGGTATTTTTTTACATCTATGAAATAATTCGAGCCTTAGTGTAGTGGCCAATCCACTGTTTTAGGATACATACAGATTCAGGATTCAAAAGAAATAAACACAACTTTGAGAGGTACCAAGGTAATAGGTGAAACTTTTCCTTACTTCAAGTTTATAACCCTATGGGGTGATCCAGCTTTCAGAAACCTTGTCCGTGCTACAGTTACAGGGAAGATAAACACCCGAGTATCGAGCGATAACAGAGTAACCATATGCAGCACAGCCCATTCCTTGTGCAAAACATCTGGAGAAGAACTGGGTGAAAGCCGGTCTCAGTTATGGCCCTCCAGGAAGGGTAGAGATTACCTACAAACAAGGGAATGGCCCTTCGCCCTAGTGCTTTCTCACTTATCAGAAAACTAAGTAGACATGAGAACCAGTAAGAGGTGCACAGGAATAAAATGGTGATATCTGCTAATTGAATCCATGTAACTTGGTGGACAATTCCAATTATTCAACAAATGGCTACAATAACGAACAAAATTATAGACTCAAAAATCTGAATTTTACTTGTAACTTGAGGTCTACATAATATAAAGCTAGGGACCCAATGGGAAAGGGGCCTATATAATTCTTCTGACATTGACACTGACAATGACGACATCAATGATGACCAACAGAGCCTTCCTCAAGACACCCCTAAAATACATCCTTTGGGAATTATGAAGTTCTGAGGTTCCAGTATGATATACTTACATCCTTTATACTCAATATTTGTATTTTTATGGCATATAACATGGTCTTAAGTCCTAGAGACTTGGTTCCAGCCATTAAATGATTTTTTAAAAACAAGCCTAGTGATTTCTATGGTAAAAGTGTGAAGAGATGAAATCCTTAAAGTTGATCTTATTTTGGATTTGTTTGAGAAAATCCTCAAATCACCATTGAATGAAGGCCAGAATAACTAGATTTCTGGAAATGGAAGTATTTATTAGAAGAAACATAATACCAATATATTTCGTTTTAATAAATATAGGGTTTCATTTCAGTGTCTGATTATTTGGTGGAGAATATTAATTTTGCGCTTAATTATCCAATAATAACCTAATCCCTTAAGGTCTTTTGTATTGCAAATTGAAAGAGATGTAGCAGTAAAGTCATTCATGTTTACTATGAAATGTTTGTTCAACTCCTTAGGTGGACACATTCAGAGAATTCATTTAGGCTGTGACAGCCTAGTTCATAGTTTGTCAGTAAAAAGCCCAGGAAAATTATGAAAATTCAGAATGTAATTAAAATGATAATTGTTTTCTTTCTAATCTTGTGTCCAAACTTGCAATGTTAAAATTTCCTTTTTAGGGGCGGCCCGGTGGCTCACTCGGGAGAGTGCGGTGCTGATAACACCAAGGCCCCGGGTTCGGATCCCATATAGGGATGGCCGGTTCGCTCACTGGGTGAGCGTGGTGCTGACAACACCAAGTCGAGGGTTAAGATCCCCTTACCGGTCATCTTAAAAAAAAAAAAAAAAAAAAAAAATTTCCTTTTTAAATATCATTTTGAAATATAGGAAATATATGCTAAATATGGAGAATAAAATACTATGGATGGTGTCTCCTCATTAAATTACTTACTGTTTTAAAGAGATGGGCTATTTATACATGTGCTTTCTCAGTTCTCTTTAGCTCGCAGCTGGTAAAATGATCTACATCTGCCATTCTCCATGATTTTCTTTTTTGTAGATGCAGATGTTGATCTCTAATGCCTATTCTAGGTTGGAAAAACCTATGATCCTAATTTAAAAGAGGCTAATGATTTTATTGAGAACTGTTTATATAGAATTATGGAACAGCTGCCCCGCATCTTTCCGAAAACGTTTAAGTCACTAATACACGTGGATGAAGCCCAGCTTACACACTTTTAACTGAAAAAAAAATTTTTTTTAAACCTATATTTTCTAAAATAACCCACCACTCTTGTACGTAGAACTTTCTACCCCAGTGCCAATTCCTACAGCTTGGTGCAAAACAGCTTGCGGGAGAGCCTGTGCTATTGCTCTTGCGAAAAAACCGAATTTCCCTATACTTTTGAGAAAAAAAGAGTTCATTCATGTAAATTTGAGAAGATAAAAATGCGCAGAACAATGTCCTGTAAGAAAGATTTCCAAGTAAGACAAAGAGAAGTAGTATTTTTAAGGAAAACCTGAAAGTTGTCTCAATTTGACCGAAGTTTGGAAGAGAGTTGGGGGAATCAAGAAAGTTTCAGGGTGCCGGTTTTGAAACTAGGTATAGAAAATAAGGCAGAAATGAAGCCTAAAGCCTCTCGGATCCGTTTCCCCCAAATCTCTAATCATTTCGTGCCCAGATTTCTTATGTTTTTATTCTTTTTTAAGGGGCAACAAACACAGCCATCCGGCAGAGCCGAGGAGCACTTCTCCAGCAGCGCGGCGCATGGAGCAGGGAACCAATCACCACGCAGCTTCTCTCTATATAAACCCCCAGCCTCCGGCGCCGGGGCCATGTCGTTCTGACAATTTGAGCTTACTTTTGGCTTTTCTGGTTAAGTCAGAAACATGTCGGAGACTGCTCCAGTTGCGCCTGTTGCCCCCGCGCCTGCGGAGAAAACACCTGTGAAGAAGAAGGCGAAGAAAGCGGGCGCAGCTGCGGGAAAGCGCAAAGCGTCTGGGCCTCCGGTGTCCGAGCTCATCACCAAAGCTGTGGCTGCTTCCAAGGAGCGCAGCGGCGTTTCACTGGCCGCGCTCAAGAAGGCGCTGGCAGCCGCTGGCTACGATGTAGAGAAAAATAACAGCCGCATCAAGTTGGGTCTCAAGAGCCTGGTGAGCAAGGGCACCCTGGTGCAGACCAAGGGCACCGGCGCCTCCGGTTCCTTCAAGCTCAACAAGAAGGCGGCTTCCGGGGAAGCCAAGCCCAAAGCCAAGAAGGCGGGCGCCGCCAAGCCCAAGAAGCCCGCCGGCGCAGCCAAGAAGCCGAAGAAGGCGACGGGCGCGGCCACCCAGAGGAAAGGCGCTAAGAAGACTCCGAAGAAAGCCAAGAAGCCGGCTGCAGCTGCTGGGGCCAAGAAAGTGGCTAAGAGTCCGAAAAAGGTGAAGGCAGCCAAGCCGAAGAAGGCTGCCAAGAGTCCAGCTAAGGCTAAAGCCCCTAAACCCAAAGCAGCCAAGCCTAAGTCTGCAAAACCCAAGGTTACAAAGGCAAAGAAGGCGGCCCCTAAGAAGAAGTAAAAATGTAGCAGAATGTCCTGCTGCAAACCTCAACGGCTCTTTTCAGAGCCACCCACAGATTCAGTCAAAAGAGCTGAGCTTTTATTTTTATTTGGCAAGTGACAAATTAAGCATATTTTTGAATTCCCGCCCTAGTGCGTGATTGGCCTGTTGATTCACTTTTGATACGCAGGGAGAGCGCGCATGGCTTGACTTAGAAAGATGGTTCCTAACAGACCTTTGATTTGGCGACTCTGGAGAGCCTTGGGATTTCTGGTGCAGTAGCACCGCCTAGATGCTGGGTAGGAAGGCTCCCCGCGCAATGGTCACGCGGCCCAGGAGCGCGCTGAGCTCATTACTGGTGGCCAGTTGCAAGGAACGCAGCGTGATGCGCGCTTTCTTATTGCGGGCCGCGTTGCCCGCCAGCCCCAGGATCTCGGTGGCCAGGTACAGCGACGCGCCGCCTCTGCCCTGCTCGCAGTAGCCGCCCTTGTGCAGTAGATGGACGGCCTACTGGGGACTGCAGGCCCGCGGCGGGAAGAGCGGGTCGCAGCCTTGGCGCACGTTTTACCTCCGTTTCCCGCGGCCAGACAGGTTAGGATTGTTTTATTAAGCCAATGGCAGAAGGGGTTATTACAGTCTCCGGCTGTTTTGTAAAATTTACTTTCCCATTGGTTTGCAGGGGCTGTTAGCTAATCAGGATGTACCTTTGGACCTGTATGGGCTCCGGCGAGGGAGAACAGTGCACCAATCAGAGGTTGAGATATTAAAAGTTGTATTCTGGGAAGTAGTTGAAAGCCTGGTTTTGTTTTTTTTTGTTACCCAAGAGATCAAATGAAATCCGCTTTTCAGAGATTACTCACACTGTTGCAATAATTAAATCTGCATAATTATTCCTACCTCCCTGGTGCTAAGGGAATAATGTATAAAGGCATCTTCGGCAGTTTATAGTCTACCCTCTTTTCCAGGTTTCTTCACAGATTAGGACCCGGATCTAGGGTCAGCTGTCCAATCCTATTAGGTAAGTAGACAAGAAATAGGGAGAGGAAAAAGCCAGCCAAACAAAACGTTTGAGAAGGCGGCGTGGTTTGTGAGCTAGCTCCTGAAGTTGGTGTCGCCAGGACGAAAAAAATGGGCTGTAGATGGATGGGTTGAGCCGCACGATCCACTATTTCCATTTCATTCCTGAGGCTGAGGCGTTTTTTGTTCGATTGTTTGTTTCCATTGGGAAAACCCACTTAATTTTACTGACAAATCCTGACAAATTCTGAGTTCTGCAGACGTTTCTGGGGCTCTGAGGGGAAATTACATCTTAAGTTTCATAAATGCTGAATGCAATTTAGCATTTCCTTCCATTAATATAGGCAATTAATTACAGTGGATTTCGCAGTACCTGTGACTTTTTCGTCAATGGTAAGCAGATATTTGTGAATCGCTTTGCAGTTATTACAAGTACTTTTGAGTAAAGTTTACACTCGCTGTGAGTCCTTCAAACTGACGTTTGTTACTACACCTACTGGTGATCCTTTCATTCGATGTTACTATAGAAGCACATATATTACACGTACTTTAAAAAATGATAACTATTTTAATATCACTACCTTTTCTTATTCTGTATAAGTATTTAAGAAATATCGTTTTGAGAAGGTCTCTATAGAATTGCACAGACTCCTCATCTACTGCACAGTACAAAACAAGTGAACTGAGCAGGTCCCCAGTGGGACCAAATCCCACAGATCCTTCGTGATTTAAATGCTTCTTTACCTTATTTCTTTGTTCACATGCCCTGATTGCTTATGTTACATAAGAATTATAGGAAGCCATTGTTTTGGATTAATTTCCTGCACTAGGTCCCAGAAGATCAGACCAAAAATGAAAATGGGATCATCCCTGCTAAGTTCCAAGTCACTTAGGTTGTGGTGTGACCTTCTGAGAATTCAGGGGAAAGAGATAGCCAATTTTCCAAAGAGGCCACTTTAAACCTTCAATAGGTATGATTTTAAAAAGCCCCTTGGCTGGCCAATTAGTACAGTTGGTTATAGTGAAGCCTTGTAACACCAAGTTTGCAGGTTTGGATTTCCATTTGGCCAGCTATCTAAAAAGCAAAATGAGTTTAAAAAAAAAAAAAAAAAAAAAGTTCCCTCTGCTTTAAGTAATCCTAACATGGAAAGAATACCTGAAGTATCCTGAGGTTAATCAATTATTTTCCTATTGTTCTGTCTCTGACCCCACCTTTGAAATGACCAATTTGCTTTTCATTCTTTGTTTATGATTTCTTCAGCCTTTTCTGTCTATACAGTCTTTGTTATTTGTAATAGACTTCTCTAACTCTGGGTCTGATGTTTTCTGGATCAGTCCTCACATTTGGCTCCCAATAAACATTACAAAATTATTTCTGCTTTGCTGCCTTAATTTTAGTTACCAGTTAATAGTTTAAATTTTATATCTTACTTAAGCTTCTTTAAAAAAAAAAAGTGTAGCCTGTGATTAGCTTTCTAGCTTTTCTAAGCAGGAGTTCAATTCTTTTAAACCCTAACTGCGTGTCATAATTTCTTTCTAGAGAAAGCCAAAAGTCCCTTTCCCATTATAAAAGTGGCTTGGTTGAGAAAGAGATCTGGATAAATAGTCGAACGTGAAATAGTTACTCAAAGAACTCTGTGAAAATAGGAGATTAAGTTATTGAGTGGTAAAGATAAGGGTGAAGAGAACCTAGGAGGTCTTCAGTATGAGGGTACTTCAAAAAGTGCATACAATGATTCATATTATCTTGTAATCCTATTTTTTCCTTGAACTTTTCTTTCTTATTTTAATTTCTCAATATATATTGTGGCTGATTTTCGTGACTCTTTACTCATTCCTCCTCCCCCTCCCTCTGTCCCCTCCCCACCTACATCATATCTGTTCACTTGTCTTAACAAGTTCAAGGAATTGTTGTAATGTGTCTTCCCCCTCACCTCCCTTTGTTTGTGTGTTTATTTTTAGCTCCCAGAAATAAGTGAGAACATGTGGTATTTCTCTTTCTGTGCCTGATTTGTTTCACTTAATATAAATTTCTCTAAGTCCATCCATGTTGCTGTGAATGGTAGTATTTCATTCTTTTTTATAGCAGAGCAGAATTCCATTGTATAGATGTACCACAGTTTCCTTATCCTTTTCCTTGAACTGTTCTAAGTACCCATGTATCCAGAAAGAGTTAGGCTTCTGATGATGAGTAATGAAGAATAAGAGGGTTATGTGGTGACGCGGCATTCATTAAGAGCACACAACATTATTACAGCATAGGAGGGTACTTCAAAAAGTTCATGGGAAGATTTGCATTATCTTTTTTTTTTTTTTTTTTTTTTTTAAAGATGACCGGTAAGGGGATCTTAACCCTTGACTTGGTGTTGTCAGCACCACGCTCAGCCAGTGAGCGAACCGGCCATCCCTATATGGGATCCGAACCCGGGGCCTTGGTGTTATCAGCACCGCACTCTCCCGAGTGAGCCACGGGCCGGCCCCTGCATTATCTTTTAATTACATTTTTCCACAAACTTTATGAGGAACACTTGTGTTTCTCGTTCTTAAAGGTTTACAAAACAGTTCTATAACTGCCTCACTTGGGCCTCACTGTTAAGCATTTACATTAAGTATAGTTAAAATGCTTACTTTAAAGTAAAGAAAATTGTCGATTAAAAAGACAAAATGACAAGAAATGACCATTTATTGTCAGTAAATGGTGAAGATGGGTCTCAAACACAGATTTCTTAAGTCCTTCTCCCATCTAGTAAATTAACTGGAAAAGGAGTAGAGTTCTCTAGTTCCGTTTTGGGCTCATAGAGAGCTAACCAGAGTTTATGTATTTCTATTCTTGGAGCTTAGCAAAGAATACCCCAGAATGAAGACCTCAGAAGCAGCCTCAGAAGCACAGTTTCTCTTGACCTACTTCTGCCCTCCTGTCTCTCGCGCCTCATTCTCCACCTTGGCAAGCCGTAGAAAGTAGAATCCCCCTTCTCTGAGGCGGGCCATGAAAACCAGAACCCCATTGCCCCACTAGCTAGCCATAAAGCCTAACAATATTACTCTAACCTCCCCAGACCCCTCTGTGTAACAGCTTGCCATAAAAAAAATAAAGACCCTCCCTCATTCCAGAGGGGTTCTATCCCATACCCTGCAGGAAGGAACGCAGCACAAAGGCCAAGGAGATTCTGAACAGACAGGCCTTGCTGGGTTTCCCCACTCAGTCTAGTAGTATTAGATCATACCCTTTTTGTCCAATCACATTTCTACAGGGCCGCCACTACTTCATAAAATGTAAGCATAAATATGGACAGTTTTCCCTGCATCTTTGGGTCTTCAACCTGAAGGCTCCTGTGTCACGTAAAACTACAATCTAATGAATTCCTTACGCTTTTCTCTTGTTAACCTGTCTTTTGTTGTAGGGGTGTTGGCTGAGACCCTTATGATGGGGAGGAAAGGGATCACCCCCTTTCTATCCTTATGCTATTTTATGCCCATTGTGAGCTGTCCAATCCACAAGCCCTTTGAAATGCAATGGGCCTTCTACAGTTTTACTCTGGTTTATGTAAATTAATATTGACATTCCTTTGCCTTGGATAGGCCTTTGTTTTCTAGGTACTTGGAACTTTTAAAATCTTCCTCAGGGCTGGCCCATGGCTCACTTGGGAGAGTGTGGTGCTGATAACACTGAGGCCATGGGTTCCGTTCCCTATATAGGGATGGTTGGTTGGCTCACTCGGAGACCCTCTTGCTGACAACACCTAGTTGAGGGTTAAGATCCCCTTACTGGTCATCTTTTTAAAAAAAGAAAAATATCTTCCTCCATCTTTCAATTTTTTTTCTGTAGCAGTTAAATCAGGTTGCAATGAACATCTTAGGATGGATAGAGAAGACTAAAGATGTCTGAGTATAAAAGATGTGAAGGGCTTTTTCATATTATCTTAGCTTCTGGAGGGTAGTTATGCATATGGCATAGGTCTGAGAAAAAAGGAATTGTTAGGACCAGCCTAAATTCACTACTTTCTTTTATTTAGTAAAATTGCCTGGCTTCTTTTAAATGGAGGAAGCAGATTGAGTTTATGTTACTGTGTGACAGCCTCCATTATTTATCGCTGTCAGTCACTAAGTCAGCTTGATTTTTAAGGAATTCTCAGTGACTCTAACATTTTCTTTCTTCATGCGTTCTCTCTTCATCCTCTCACAGCTAGGGTCATTCCATTTCTCACTAATCAGTTTCATAACTCTGGTTTCTCCAGCCTCCAATTTCTAAATTCTGATCATTCTGCAAAAACAAAAAACAAAATATCTATTTGAAAAGGGCCACTGGGTCCCCATTGCCTTAGGATCAAGTGAGGGCCTCTTTTCATAATAATACCTTCTGCTTACTCTAATAGGCACTGATAACAACTTAACCAACCTTCCTATTTCTTCTTTATTAATTCTTTTTTTTTTACAACTTTGCTCATCTGCAATTTCCTCTACTCTCTACCTGTGAGAATCTTTCCAGTGCTTCCAATTCCATATCAAGTTTCATCTCCATGAACAAATTTCCCTAATTAAAAAGCATAGTTATTTCTTATAATATGCTTTCATGACATTTAATAGTTGGGTAGCATTACTACCAATAGAAAAAAAATCTTTTTTGGGTGCCTGGACGGTAAGTATAAAATTTTTTTAAAAAAGATGACCGGTAAGGGGATCTTAACCCTTGACTTGGTGTTGTCAGCACCACACTCACCCAATGAGCGAACCAGCCATCCCTATATGGGATCCGAACCCATGGCCTTGGTGTTATCAGCACCGCACTCTACCAAGTGAGCGACGGGCCGGCCCCTAAAATTTTTAATGCATCTATTCTTTTCTCTCATTAACTAAACTGAACTCTAGGGCATTAGTCTCACTACTCTACAGATGTGTGTGTGTATGTGTGTCTAATTGACCAAACTTTAAAAATCCCATCATATGTGTTGGATTATCACCAGACATTAATCAAATTGAATGATTTCATTTTCTGTTTTTCTACGTAGGAAGCGAAGGGTAATAAAAATCTCTGCCGCTTTTATGACCCTCCTTTCTATGTCCCGTTCTGCAGATTCTCTCTCTTACCCTCTGAACTATGCCATTCCTTTTTTTTTTTTTAAAGATGACCCGTAAGGAGATCTTAACCCTTGACCTGCTGTTAGCACCACACTCTCCCAAGTGAGCCAACTGGCCATCCCTATAGAGGGATCCGAACCTATAGCCTTGGCGTTATGAGCACAACACTCTCCCAAGTGAGCCACGGGCCGGCCCTCTGAATTATGCCACTCCAAGGTGTTCAGCAACTACAAAACATAAACAGAAGAACAAGGACCATGCTAGATATTCTGATGGGTTTAATTATATAAGAAGATGTTTTCTGTGCTCCTTAGGTCCTCAAGTCACAAAGTCCAACAGCTGTGAGACAGAAACACAGGTTAATGAGAAAAAAAAAAAAAAGGAAAGAAACAGGTTAAAAACTTACTGTGCTAGAATCTCAAAGAAAGTACAGGATATGGGAAACCAAATTCAAATATGGAATATCTTTAGCCAATATATATGGTGTCACTATATTACAAATTTTAATTGCAAACAGTTAAGCTTTTTATCACATGGACTTAGACTCCTCAGTTCACAGCACCCAAGTCTTAATGTCTGATAGGCTTCAAATAAGGAGAGTTTTTTTCTATAAAATCTTCAGGACTTCTTACTAAGACTAATTTGGACTGAGTATCTATAGCGTTGTCACTATTAATTTTACCACCTGACAAACCTCTTTCCTTATGATACTTGAGGGAAAACAACACATTTTAATAAAAATTAATAGAAACCTCTCATTTACAGTTAAACATACTGCACCCCATCTCAAAATCTACATATTAGAGGAAATGTTTAAATACACGTAAAGTCCTTCCAAACAGCAAATAGTATCCCGAATAGTAAACATTCTTCTACATTCCCAAATAACGGCTTGTAGTTTCAGAATAGAATTCCCAACTTCCCTTCTCTTCAGCAACCAGTTTAGAAATTGTGAGGAATCTGTTATTTCCATTTGAATGGGATACACATTTCATATGGTGTAGACATCCCTTTATATGAATGAGAAAAAGCGAGGGCAGAACACATTCTGCAAGACAGAACTTTCAAGTTGCCAAAAGATTTTCATGTTTTAATAATAAATGAGGTTTAATGAGATTTGATTTACAGATTGATAGGGTATTTAGTAAAGTTGAAAGTTCCCTGTGAGACTGTCAGCTGAAAAGTTGAAAAGGCTCAGGGCTCCTGCATTTTTTCGTTTACTCCTGTGTGTCTGAGACCCACCCAGCTGCTCTCGTTTATTGCTTTGGCTGACCCTTGCAGATTACGCCCAAGTAAAGACTGTCAACACTGGTCGTTCGGTATTCAGCTGATAAACTAAACCTTAGCCCCCTGTCAGGGGCGCATCCCTGACCCCATTCAAGGAGACGCTGGCAGCTGCTGGCAAGGAGTTGGGACTTAATACCCTAGTGAGCAAGGGCGCCTTGATGCAGACCAAGAGCGCCGGCCCCTACGACTACAAGCTCAACAGTAAAGCATCCTGGAAAGCAAAGCCGAAGCCACCAGCTTTTAAAGTGTCTAGAGTCAGAAAACTTAGATGACAGAGCATGCAGGCGCCAAATAAGTGGACAAAATTCGAAAAAGATGAAAGGGAAACCGAAGGTAGCCTCTAGACCAGCTGAGACTGAAGACCGTAAACTGGACAGCCAATCCTAACAACTTGCCTGTAACAAAATTTTTGTCCATAGAAACCAGGGCAGAAAGGTTGCGCCCAAGCAAAATAGTGGAGAGAGCTCTTGTTTTGAGGACTTTAAAGAACCACAGGTTTTTTCGAGAGCTCAATCCCCAAACTACGAAGGCCTTGTAGGTCATTGCACAAACTGATTTCGTGACTTGTTAAGTAAGCCTCCTGTTGAGTATTACAGCATTTTCATAAGAGAAAGTGGTTGGCTCTGAAAAGAGCCTTTGGGTTTACGGTTCTCACTCAATTTGGGAACATACTTTACGCCCTCTCCCCGCGGATGCGGCGAGCGAGCTGGATGTCCTTGGGCATGATGGTGACGCGCTTGGCGTGGATGGCACACAGGTTGGTGTCCTCAAACAGCCCCACCAGGTAGGCCTCGCAGGCCTCCTGCAGCGCCATCACCGCCGAGCTCTGGAAGCGCAGGTCGGTCTTGAAGTCCTGCGCGATCTCGCGCACCAGGCGCTGGAACGGCAGCTTGCGGATCAGCAGCTCGGTGGACTTCTGGTAGCGGCGGATCTCGCGCAGGGCCACGGTGCCGGGCCGGTAGCGGTGGGGCTTCTTGACGCCGCCGGTGGCCGGCGCGCTCTTGCGGGCTGCCTTGGTGGCGAGCTGCTTGCGGGGCGCCTTGCCGCCGGTGGACTTGCGAGCCGTCTGCTTGGTGCGAGCCATCGTCTATATGCAAAATAAACAGACGAGTGGAACTGGCTTGCACCTCTATTTATACAGTTACAGAATCACTCTCATTGGATTGTGGACAATCCCCGTTAGTCATCGGTTGGTAAATTCCGGATGTGCTCGGAGTGATTTACAATTGGTTTGTCCTTTCTGTGCAAGTTCCTGATTGGTCAATTTCAATGAGAAAACACCCAGCCTATTTTTAAAATTATTTTCTAAATTATTGGTATCTTTGTAATGCTTCATACCCTCGAGTATGCCCCACAAACACATTTTATCATTTAACTTAATATTCTTGAAGTTTCGTCCTGTTTGCGTATACAAAATAGTATGTGTTTGAAAGAAAAAGTGCATCAGAATTTCAGCTTTCAAAAACATCCGCCATTTTTTTCAGCCGAATTAACGTGTTTTTATAGGAGTGCTATTCCCCTTCCTTACCCACTTATCTAAAAATGCATCCTTTCGGCATCTCTACCAGATCTAGTGTCATCTTTAGGGTAAATGTAGAACTCAATCAAACATGGTCTTCTAGAATATACTGTCCAAACGTTAAGAAATCTGGGTGTGCGCAGCAAAATTCTACTATCCTGACATTCCTGGCTCTTCAATATCCGGTTTGAACCTAACAGAATTTAGCGACATTGTTTTGTTGAAATTGAAACGTGAGTCCGGGTATAATCGCGAGCTCGCAGGGAAGTATTTGCAATGCAGAATCTCGAGAAAGATGGCGGCGACGAGCGTCTTCTTGAGGCGGTTTCTTTGTGACACCGCAATGACGCAGCATCTCGGGATTCTTAGCGGATGGGCCGGAAGAGCCCAGGACACGGAAAAACCAAACGAACTGTTGTTGGGACACGACTCGCCCTGATAACAGGATTTCCTAGCTTGGTTTTCGCGTCAAAACGCGAGAGTTCCCAATTTTTTAAAAAAAGATGTGTAACGGAAAGAACTTTTAGTGAATCAAGTTATAACTCAGTATTATAAATCAACCTATTGGGTTCCCCGCAAAGTGTTTTTCCAGCCAGTAAAAAAAGCACCTTGGGAATTCTTACTTTACATACCCTGAATCCATTGGCTAATGTGGTCTAATGAGAGTTTAGATTTTTAAGTCCTCTTTTGTACATTCTTGGAATATACACTCTGGAACAGTGCGTTTGCGCGTGCGCGTGTATGTCTCTTAGTTTTTCTCCCTATTGTTTACAATGCGAGTGCTCCAGTTTCTGAAAAGGGTTGCAAAAGGGCATTGACTAGGGCGCAGACAAAAGACTGCAAAAAACGCAGACTCGGTCAGAGGTAGAAATATTCTATGTCGATGTGGCGTTGAAGGAGGTTGATTCCAAGGGCATCTCGTCCAAGGTCATGGGTATCATAAACACAGGACACACCCTGTAGCTCATCTGGGGCGAGGGGTCCCACCTGGCTCATTCCAACAAGCGATGGGCTTCCTCGATCTCCCCAGGGAGATCACCTTGTGCCTGCTGTTCCAAGGAGCTATTTAAGCAGATTGTATCGATGCCACAGTCATCACCGAGTATCCCAGCTCCAACTAAAAGTTTTTCTGTATTTCACTACCCACCAGGACTTTTCAGAGCCACTCAATGTTTTCATGTTGAGTTGTAATAATAAGGTTTTCCCAATGCATTTTGTAAACACGTTTTCTCTTTTTACAAACTTAACCTGTTATAAAAATGTAAGAAGCACGACAGTGTGAGTGGTTTATTTGAACTTTTCAGTGCAGCGAAATATTTACCATATAATTGTGTTCTAAAGCTGTTAAGGTGTCTAGTATTGCTTTACTCTGTTTTGTGTCTGTGTGTTTTAGCTCTTAAGGCCTTTGAATGGTAATTTTCTAAACTTAGTAATCTTCTCAAAGTTGTCCAATAGTTATTTGAATTTTTAAAAAGTTTCATAGTGGATACCTGCAGAATTTAAAGTTGCCCAATACTTAAATTACTTGTACCTGGATTCTTTGTTTTAAGTATGTGCCCACAGTGTAATATAATTAGATTTGCTTTACAAATTAAAAGCAGCATTTTATAAAGGTAACATAATGTCACTTATACAGTAGATAGTGGACTCGGCCTAGGGAAGTTTCTTTTCTTGGACCTACAAGTTTAATCTCCTAATTCCTATTGTTGACTATTTCCAAGGTACTTCTCCAAATTTTTCAATAAAAAGAAAGTTCTTATGTCCACTGTATCTTTCGCTTGTCTAGAGGCTATCCCTCATATAACCTTTCCCACATGATGCTCATTCAGGTTCTGAAACTAATTTTGACCCATTTTTCTGTTCTATTTTGTTTTTGTGTTACTATTACACAACTCAGGTCCAGTTTCCGGCCCCCTTGAGAAGAAAATTTAAAAAGACTCAGAAGTGAAATGCTTGGTGTTAGAAAAGCAGATGTATTCAGGTGAAGCAGAAGGCGGTAGCCTCTCCCATGCCAAAGGCTTAGATTTACTGACGGGTATTTAAAAGAGGTGTTGAGGGAATGAAATGTGAGAAGTGAAAAGCAGGACAAAAGGAGACATGAGCTATAAGTGGTCTGGAGGAAGGCTCTGTTTGTCATCACTGATGTCATCATTGTCAATGTCAAGGTCAGAAGTATTATATAGACCCCTTTCCCTTTGGGTCCCTAGTTGTATATTATGTAGACCTAAAGGTACAATTAAAATTCAGATTTTTGAGTCTATAATTTTGTTCATTATCATAGTCAATTTGTTGAATAATTGGAAATGTCCACCAAGTTACATGGATTCAATTAGCAGATGACACCATTTCATTCCTCTGCACCTCTTACTGGTTCTCATGGCTACTTAGTTTCCCAATAAGTGAGAATGCACTGGGGCGAAGGGCCATTCCCTTGTTTATAGGTAATCTCTGCCCTTCCTGGAGGGGCATAACTGAGACCGGCTTTCACCCAGTTCTTCTCCAGATGTTTTGCACAAGGAATGGGCTGTGCTGCATATGGTTACTCTGTTATCGCTCGATACCCGGGTGTTTATCTTCCCTGTAACTGTAGCACGGACAAGGTTTCTGAAAGCTGGATCACCCCATAGGGTTATAAACTTGAAGTAAGGAAAAATTTCACCTATTACCTTGGTACCTCTCAAAGTTGTGTTTATTTCTTTTGAATCCTGAATCTGTATGTATCCTAAAACAGTAGATTGGCCACTACATTAAGGCTCAAATTATTTCATAGATGTAAAAAAATACCTAGAAGAACTAGTTAAGTAAGTGATAGTCACCCAGGGTAACTTCCGGCTTCATGTTCTGTCAATTTTGAGTTAACTACCCTCTCCCACCACCACCACCATAGTAAGTGACCGTGAGAGATACAGGTGTTGATCACTAGATTAGTCCACAGCTACTGTGCTTAAACTTTCCAAAATTCAGTGAGGTTCGAGGGTTTCCGGAGAAAAATGACTATGTAAAATAAATATCAATATAGGCGAAGAAAGACGAAGGACTGTTTAGAAGACAGAGCTTTGTACTGGAAGTGAGTGTGTTCAGCAGGTCCATGAGAAATCATTTCTATTTTAACTTCCTATGAAATGGGCTTACATGAAGACACTGGCCCCTTGAAGCTTCCCTCCAAGCACAATTATGATACATTAATTTTGTTCCTTGAAAGGGTACTACTGCTTTCAAACTTCCGACTTCCTCTTTCCATGTCTCCATCTGTAATATCTGGTACACCCAGAAGCTGGGTAATTTCTATTATACTTGAAAAGCACTCTTCTAAATCCTCACGTCCTGCAGTCAGCCTCATTCTCAAGCATCCACTACACCACTTTCCCCTATCTGGACTGGAAGCTCAGAAGAAATCCCTTTTCAACAGCACAGCCCTGTAGAACTTTCTGCGATGACAGAAATGTTGTGTATCGACACCGTCCACTCTGATTTCCATTTTAATTAATTTAAATTTTACTGAACGTATGTGGCTAGTGGCAAATATAGGACAGCATAGCTGTACATTCTTCAACTTGAATGAGCATACCACCCACCTGGAGATCTTATTGAAAATGCAATATCAATTCTCAGTAGATTTGGGGTTTAGCCTGAAACTCTATACTTCTACCAAGCTTCTGGGTGATGCCAGTGCGGCTGGGTTATGGCCGCTCCACCCATCCATACTTGGAAGCAACTAGGAGGATACTGGGCTGATATCTGGCCTCTCATCCTGATTTTACGTTTCTCTTCCTTTTACCAGACTGTGACTGCATGGCATGTAGTGGATCCTAAGTTATGCTTGTTTGGTACCTTTATCAAAAGGGTGAGCATGGGGGCTCAGTGTCTCTACACGTGCAGGTTGACTGGACCTAAACTCAATCCCAAAAAGAGTCTGCCTCCAAGAAATGTAAAATCTTCTGCCAGCCTATAAAGTAAGCCCCAGCAGAGAACGAATATTTAAAAATTACCTCTGTAGTACATGCAAGGCACTGAATGCAAATGTGTGGAAATTGCAAGCAAATGTTGGAATTTGTCTAGCAGTCCATGATCTGTGTGCAAAACATTACTTCAGTTACTCGTTATTTGTACAATATCTCACAAAATTCATTAGCGTTATTTTTGTTAATTCTGTTAATTTGCAGCGTTTATTCACCATTATGTCCTGTTAATGATTTATCGCCTCAGAAGCAGTGGTCGATGTAAGGTCATGAGACTGCAGAATCAGACACGGATTAGGTCTCCAAGCCTGGGTTTCCTCATCTTTACAGCGCAGATGGAGCTTTATAAAAAGGGAAACAAAACAAAAAAAGTTAAATGAAATAAAAAGTAATAAAACGAAAGAAAAAACCAGGGGGAAACAGAGTGGAAATTCGATTAGCGTTGCCCTCCCCCCTTCCTATTAAGCAATTAAACAAGACTAGAGTAAATGAGGAAACTAATAATTAACTCCCTCGATCGAGACCGCTGAAAATGATGCATATGTGCCTCTGTTTCGTGATTTGCCAAATTCAACGAGCATCGGTAGATTGTAAGAATTAAGAATAATACGTAATTTCGTAAGAGACTTATACATTAGTCCTTTGAGGGAACCCACAGGCACGGGACTGGAAGACACAGAAACCGGCGGCTCAGCACCCAGACAAGGAAACAGGAAGGACTCAGACACTGAGTGGCATTTCTCCTCCCCTCAACGCTGATGAGCCGCTCGATTCCAACAGTCACAAGGCACTAGTGGGAAACATGTTACATGGAGACTGAGAAAAAACAGACTGCAAGGCCTGACCCAAACAAAGGAATGGCCTTGCAGCGGTTGGCAGCGTAAAGGACCAGAGAAAAAGGACTGAGTAAGTTTTAATCAGGCATCTTTTAAGAATCTCTAATTTCAGTCCCGCCCTTTCCATTCTTTTCTGAAAACGTGGGCAGGGCTCCAAGTCAGGGAACTGATTGAGCAAATACCGCTGGCGTGCAGAGTTCCCAATCAGGTCCGACTTACCACTATATAAAATGCTGCCAGGAATGTTGAACTTGCTAGTTTCTTTGAGCTGCAGACATGTCTGGTCGTGGTAAGGGAGGTAAGGGTCTGGGGAAGGGCGGCGCCAAGCGCCACCGCAAGGTCCTGCGCGACAACATCCAGGGCATCACCAAGCCCGCCATCCGGCGCCTGGCCCGCCGCGGCGGCGTCAAGCGCATCTCCGGCCTCATTTACGAGGAGACCCGCGGCGTCCTCAAGGTGTTTCTGGAGAACGTGATCCGCGACGCCGTCACCTACACGGAGCACGCCAAGCGCAAGACTGTCACCGCCATGGACGTGGTCTACGCGCTCAAGCGCCAGGGACGCACCCTCTACGGCTTCGGGGGCTGAGTTTCAAGACAATTTTACAGTTTGCTCGTAAAAGGCCCTTTTCAGGGCCACCCACCTTTGTCACACGAAGGGCTGACACTGACGCGGGAAGTCGGGAAGGTAACGTTTAGCAGTAGTGACGTTGCGGTTCTAGCTAAGCTCCGCTCTTCTGCGCGGAGTAAAAGGTGCTTGTGCGCCAACTGTTCTCAACCGGGGACTGTCCTTAAGATGGCGGATCTCGAGTGTGTTAGAACAAAGGACAGGCGGAGGGACCTGGTGCGGGCGGAAGCGGCTGGGTTTGTTAGCGGACTTGCGCCAGAGGCTTCAAAAATGTTTAAGTCCTACAGCATTAAGATTGTTCTCGAGTCACATCTGGGGCCTCTACGTAAGCCGCGGCCGTGAAAAGAAGCCTTTCATCCTGGTGTTTTGCTTTGTACTGTGTGAAGGGCTGTGTATAGGTGGGTTCAAGTCTAGCAAACGCATCAAGCGTGGGGAAGGTACTTTCAGTCTTTGCCTCGTCCATGCGGGCCTGTGAGAGCTCGTAACTAGCACGGCTTACCGGCTACTGCGGTTTCATACCTTGATGATCAATTTCCTCATGCTTCGTCAGTGACCCTAGTGACAGTTTCTTCATGGGTTTTGTCAACCCGTCGTCTTCCCACCTGTGACCCTGACTGCATCCTCACCTTTCCACTTTCCCACCAAGCTCAATGGGTGATTGTTCTACGTCTCGCTCCCCCTGCCTCCCCCTGCCTCCCCTGACGACTTACGGAGAGAAAGCACCGCAGGGAGCCAGTTCGTCTGTGCCCGTGCCTTCGGGATGACTGAGGAAGCTTCCTTCCCCTGTTAAACTTACTGGACACTGGGCCGGCCCGGTGGCGCACTGCTGAGGTTTCGGATCCCACATACAGACCGGTTCCCGCTCACTGGCTGAGCGAGGTGCGGGTGCAGCGCCGAGGGTTGCGATCCCGTTGCCGGTCCCGGTCCGGTACGGGCGCGACACTGAGGGTTGCGATCCATTGCCGGACATGAAAAAAGACAAAAAAAGGAAAAAAAAAAAAAAAAAAAAAAAAAGCTTGCTTGACACTGAATTACTTGCTCATCCTAACCTAAGTGTCGTGATACCTCGGTTAAAAGTTTTAGTATTCTCTACTGGTTCTTTCCCCTCCACATAAAATTCATTTCGTGTCTCTGTATGTATCAGTCACTCTTCTCATGATCATATATATACATACATATGTATATATGCCTTCTTCAACAACCACTTTTGTAAAAATGCCCTTGCCATAGTTACCAGTGACCTAATCGCAAAATCCACGAGCACACGTTAAAAACTTAGTCTCTGCTGCATCTGTCTCTTGCCTTCACAGTCTCCTCACAGGATTTTGTTTTTAACTGTTTATTTGAGTAGGTTTTTTTTGTTTGTTTTTGTTTTTGTTTTTTCTTTTTCTTTTGGCTGTTGGCAGATGCACGGATCCAAACTCGACCTAGGTGTATATAACTTCTTACCAGGTGAGTTAACAAGCCAGTCTTCCTCGGGAGATTTTGTGATAACTTCCTTTCTGGCCCAGTTCCTATGTTCTCCTCGATTCTTCTCAATTTGCTTTTCTGAGTCCTATTTCTCTGATTCTTCCCAATGAATTATCCCTTGCACACTTATCACTTAATAGATCCTCTATGTCTTCCAGCATGTGCCATAAATGATAACATATCATCCAGGTACCTGGAAGAGAACTGAGTATCAGCCTTCCAACCCCAGTGTTCTGTAGCAAACACAGATTGCTTCCAGGTCACTTCCTGTCTTCTCACCTTACAACCAGTCCATCCCACTGCAATCAGAGATCTGAGTGATTTGCAAATTTCATCATCCTGTCATTTTATCATCTATGCAAAAATAAGTAAAATAAGAAGCCTTCATTGGTTCTCCTAGTATCTGTAGAATAAAACCCCAATTCCTGTGCTTTATCTGACACCCACCACCTCCACAACGTCATCTCCAAACCCCTCTCCCCAAACATGTACTTGTATAGCCGAAGGTACTGAACAACTTTTCATACTTGGAACCCTTTGTCAACGGTAATTCTTTCACATACACTGTTTCTTCTTCCACTAATAACCTTCGATTCCTTTGGGTTTTTCCTCCTTCAAGACTTTTCAATAGACCTTTACCTGATTCTCAGGCAAAATCAGTACCTAACATTTCCTTGCTCTCCACAAAGTGCACTCCTCCAAAATCAGTACTTAGGATTTCTTTACTCTCCACTCCTCCACACATGTGGCTTTAAAGCTATTCCACATTTTAACATTTGTTGATGATAAACACTTGCTTTCTTGTCAAGATTTCTGAGGCCTTGGACGATGTCTTCATTTTAGTATCGTTAGAACCTACAAAAATTACATGGCACATATTGGTCATTCCATAATTATTTGTGCAATGACTGAATAAATCAATGCAATTAACAAACTATCTGGACCGATAATATAGTCTTGTACAAATCATTGTCCTTTAGCAGTATCTCTGCTTCCCCCAGAAATTTCTTCTCTTGGGCCGGCCCTGTGGCTCACTCGGGAGAGTGCGGTGCTGATAACACCAAGGCCCCGGGTTTGGATCCCATATAGGGATGGCCGGTTTGCTCACTGGCTGAGCGTGGTGCTGACAACACCAAGTCAAGGGTTAAGATCCCCTTACCGGTCATCTTAAAAAAAAAAAAAAAAAAAAAAAGAAATTTCTTCTCTCTTACCACATTCCTTTAAATAAATGTCAGATTTGTGGCTGCCAGCTACCTACTGCAGACTTTCTAAAATGCGGACTATGACCCATTCGTTGATAAGGAAAACAATTTAATGGGTTCCAGTCAGCATATAAAAAAATAAATAGAATGGAAATTTCAAAAGTACCATGTCATGTAAAAAATGAAAATATTGTGCCGTAAAATTTAGCTTAAAGCATATATGTGCTTTTGTTTTGTTTTGGCTGTGGAACTTGAGGGACAACAAGTTTAAAAATACTGATCCATTTATTTCTTTTATAAATTTGTGAAATTCCCAGGTTAGAGATTGGCCTCACCTACCTAGCCTTCAGAAATTTAATTTCAGCCTCCCTTACTGTAAGAATACACATAAGTGGCCTAGGCTTAGGCTTCACCATTTGAGTCACACATTTAAAAGACTTCTCTTCCCCCTCTCTCTCTTTTGCTTCCTCTTGTCATGTGATCTGCTTACCTGCCAGCCTTCTTCCACCATGAGTAGAAGCAGCCTGAGGCCTGCGCCAGATCCAGCTCTCCCAGAGTCATGAGCCAAGTAGACCTCTGTTGTTCATAAATTAAAAAAAATAAATAAATAAAAACGACTTCTCTTTGGAATTGGAAGACAGGAGAGCACTGACTGCTTGGAGCTTCTGCTTCTGCTGGGATAGAAGATGTCAGAAGGGCCAGCTTCTGGTAGTGGCAGCAGCCATGGCTTCCAAGTGAGTCAACTTCTGGTTCGGCAGTTGTACTTGTGATATCAGCACCAGGCCATTCTGCAGCACAGTTCTGGGTTATGTTCCTAAAGTGTCCTCACGCATGGTTTTATAGCCCTCCCAAGAATGTTGCTATCTGTTCAATATCCCCTAAAACATCACCTTTAATGTGTGATTGACCAGAGTTGCTGGCAACTAAGAACTTCAACTTAGAAATGAAAAGTTATAACTAATTTCTGATAGAGTTTTGTGCATTTTAGGGATTTGAAGTTGTCTTACAACCGTGCTGATAAAAGGCCTTATGCCTGTTAATAGTTGTGGTCAACTGAATAATTCCCCCTCCAAAGATACCCATGTCCTAATCCACAGAACCTGTCGATCTGTTTCCTTACATGGTACAAACAGACTTTGCAAATGTGATTAAATTAAGGTTTTGGAGATTATGAGGTGATCCTGGATTACCCGAGTGAGTTCAGTGTAATCACAAGGGTGGGTCCTTATACATGGAAGTCAGGAGGGTCAGAGTGAGAGAAGAGATGTGGCAAGGGAAGCAGAGACTGTGATGCACTTTATAAAAGGAAGAAGGGGCGACACTGGTTGCACTTTCGTTCCTGGAGCACACAAAGCTTTTCTCACCTTGAGGCTTTCCTCCTACAGGTCCTCTAGACTAGGCCATCCCTGGCCTGGCTCCCTATCAAACTTCAAATCTTGAGTCCAATCTCAGCTCCTCCAAGAGGGCTTCCTGGCTGTCCTGCCTAAAATGACAACCCGGTCCCCACTTACTTACCATGACATCGCCCTGTTCATTTCTTCCTCAGCACAGTTTGCCAACTGAAATCGCTCTCTCTATACATCTATTATCTGTTTTCTTTCATAAGAACATAAACTTCCTGTGAGTAGGCCCAAGAACCTGAACAGCTGTAGAGGAACTAAAACAAAGGAGATTCTGAGGCTGAAAAGCCTAATATTTATTCTTGGCCTGAGAGTTCCGGCAGACAGCTAGCGAGTGTCTGCTTGGAATAAAATGCTGCATGCTCTCTCTCTCTGTGATATCTTCTCATGTGTCAGGATTAGTGAGGAGCCTGGAATCTTTTTCTACTTACAAGGTGATATGTTAACCTGTAAGTCTTTCATGACTGCTAGTAGTAGACAGGACACTCAGAAACAAGAGCCGTTATTACTCACAGCACAGCAGGCAGCATGTGTGCATTGGATTCCCTTTTTGTTTTTTTTTTAAGGAAAGATGATCAGTAAGGGGATCTTAACCCTTGACTTGGTGGTGTCAGCACCATGCTCTTCCATGTGAGCTAAATGGCCATCCCTCTATAGGGATCCGAAACCGTGGCCTTGGTGTTATCAGCACCACAGTCTCCCGAGTGAGCCACCGGCCAGCCCTTCCCTTGTTCTTTGATGTCCTCAGGACGGACATCAAGGGGCCCAGGTGGTGTGGCACCGAGTGGGCTTGCATCACAGCCATGCTTGGGGTATGTACCACTTAAAATGAGTGTGATAAGCAGCTACGCTCTTTGTCAGGAGGGAGACATTACCTCATCCTTTAAGGT